GGAGAGACACCGCGCTCAGTCCCGCACCGCACCGCGGGGACTGGGACGTGCCCCACCGCTGGCTTACATTGGCCTTTACTGGGTGTACTGGGACATCGCCTGCTGATGCTGCCAGCCCCTTTAAGAAGCGCGGCAGGCATTGGGCTGTGACCACGAGCGATCCAGCACCAGTTCTCCATCCTATGCTGCCAAAAACCCGGCTCTAATACTTTGTCGGGTTTCACGGTCTCTTATTCAATAGTCACCAAATCCACAGGCTTGGCAGCAAATACTGCTGTTACTTATGTGTGAGCTCAACTGAAATGGTAAAAATTGTATTGTTTAAGTTGCTACTCTGAGTAAAACTCAGCAGGGTAGGAGTGATAAGAAAGGTCTGAAATGCACGGTACGTACCTGCGTGGCTTCTATGTTGATAACCTTGTAAGAGAACTCCTCCGGTCTCGTCAGTGCAGCGTGTCTTGATTAAAAACATGAAAAGAGTGCTTAATCTCATGATGATATAGGAGTAAATTATAAAAATCAGACTCTAAGAGGCTCCTGCAGGCGTGAAGTTTGGACAACATCCCTATTCCTACTAGGCAAATTAATGTAGTAACCCCAGTTTGGAGACCTCTCCCTGGCTTGGATTTTTTATGCTAAGTGTCAAGCAGCTGGAATCTCTCTCCAGTTGAGATTAAAAGTAGGGAAAACCATTCTGTAGAATCACGTATCAGAAAGTCCCTTTACCCTTGTGCTCCCTGCCAGGGGGTGCTGCTGTGTTCAAGCCTGTCAGGCTCATCACCTCCAGCACTCCCACTGCTCTCTGAAGTACACACACATCTGGGAGGAGCTGGAAGGGCTGAAGGGAGGGCTCTGAGCAGGTCCACAGCTGCCTGCTCTGTCCCTAAAGCTCTTGAGGGCCTCAATCTCCAGGGCTGCCCCCATGGCCCTGCACCACAAACCCCAGACCGAGCAGGACCCGAGCGTACTCTTCCTCCTCGTCGGTTGTGAACAAGTTCAGCCGAAATCTCGTCTCGCTGCCACCGGGTTCCTTCACGTCCAGACCTCCCAGCAGCCTGGCCAGAAAGTTCAGCTCTTCTTTAACAAGGGGGTTAGGGGCTATGTCCTCCTGCGGGAAACAGCAGCGGGTTCACTGGTCAGGGGAGATCAGTAACAGTTCACGTTTTCTGATATTACATGAATGTTCTTGAGAGTGAAAGAAATACATTTCTGTGTTGTTAATGATACAGGCTGTGCAGGTAACTAGTAATTATCAGCTGCATCTTTAAAATGGTTGCTTGAATTTATAGACCCAGGACAAGGTAACTTTCCAACTAAGTTGAACAGCTGAGAAATCAGTAAAACCAGCTTTCTGTTTTCTGAAGAGATTAAAATGGGAAGCAAGTGCACCATCACCTAAGCCTGTGTATAATTCTTTAGGGAAACGTGCCCTTCCCCTGGCTCAAAAGGGACTGTGGAGGATTGGAGGGAGCTCTGAGAACTAAACAGATTCCCCTGAATTTATCCTGCAAGTGTAGACTAAAAAGATGGGTTACTGTTTCCCTGAGAAAGGAGATGAACGCAGGGCAAGAGTGGTAAACGATGTGGAGATGACAGATGAGGGTGTTTCATTCCATGTCCCCATCTCTTGAGAGACAAGGGAAGCAGAATGTGAGATCTGGTGGATGTGGTGAAAGCGCTCAAAGGAAGCACTCCCACCATGCCTGGTGTCACAGCTAACGAGTTAACCAGTTGTTAACCAGTTAACCAGTTGTTAACCAGTGACTGGAACACAACAGCACTGACCTTTGCGTGGGATGCCGAGTTCTTGGCCGATCCCGACATGTGCGTCTCCACTGGCCGACTGACGCTGTACCTACAGGGAAAACACACAGGGAGAGCAGCCCGTTACTGGTAGGAGATGGAGGAGCTGAGGGAGCAGCACAGGGGCTGTGATTTTAGGACATCTTTCTGAAGACTTTAAATAACTGAAAGGAGAAGTTACAGCGCAGTTTTACGGAGTATTGAGGCATTAAAATGTGCGAGCGACAACGCTGTAAGAACCCTGCTCTCCTATTCTGTGAATGGAAAAATGGGTTACACATGGAGAAAAGGAAGGATTTCTTAAGTGCAGTTGAAATTCAGTTACGTTTCACATAATATGCAGTACCAGATGGGAACACTCTTTACTCAGCTGTACTGTAGACATAAATCAAGCTTTTCCCTATTCCACAGCTCCTAACACACATCTGTCCACAAGCGATCCCGTTTCAGGACATCACTTCATAAAAAAGTCAAGCTGATAACAGCAAAAGAGGCAAAACTACACAAGGCTGAAGCCGTGGCTCGGAACAAGCCCAGAACGATCAACATTTGCTTTGTGTTTCTACATAGGACAAAATCACTCACATGTTTGTTCCAAGTTTGAGGACTCTGTCTCCATAGAGATCAAAAGATCCTTCCCTTTGCGGAGTAACGTAATTTCCATCAGTGGTGAACTCCGTTCTTTTAACTTCATCTCCATTGTGATTAAAAATCCTTAAAAACAAGACATTATTGAAACTTATTTAGTAGCTTTATTACTGATTTTCAGTACTGCACAAGAAAAAGGGCAATAAAGCCCTATTCTGTCTGTTGGTTAATGCCTATTTTGTAGGATAAACAACTAACAGCTAATTTACTGGAATAGAGGATGCCAGAAACAGCTCAGTACTTCACTGCTGGGTGACTTAGTCCCAAACCCTGCCCTTTCAATGGTCCATCCTGGTGGTTCAGGTATCCACACAACACAAACAGCAGCCTAGGCTGGATCCCTGTGAACCTCCCAGGGGAGCTGCACCGTGACCACCGGCTCAGCGCTCACCTGATGAGCCCTGGGACTTCTGTGCCCCACGGAACTGGGCCCGATATCGGCAGCACAAAGCGACCGTTGGAGTTCTGCACTTTATCCTTCAGGAAGATCGAGACCTGCAAAAGAAAATCGCCCCCTTGAGAAGATCAGTTACGACTTTCTGATCAGAATTCCTCAAGTCTGACCTCGTGGCCTTCCTGCCTGGGCTGGGATTGGTTTCCAAGAGATCCTGATCTACACATAATGACTGTGACATGGGGCAAAGCCAGCAATGTGGAACTGTGGTCCTGAGGATGGACACACCGATCTAACATTAAAAATATATATAAAAATGTGCTGTTTATGCTCTTGAGGATGCTCAATTTCTTTAGAGGATGTCAAGCCCTATGACTTCAAGCTCAGGTTCTCAGTTTCCTATCAAGTTTCTACTAAAAGGAAAAACACAGCCATCAGCTAGCAAATCTGCATTAGCAGAGATGCCTTTTTTCCTAACAGCTTAGAGCTACTGAGTATTATTGTAGGAGACATGCTCAGTTTGTGAAGTTTTCAAGACTGAAATCACAAGCACATCGAGATGACTGCAAAGCACAAGTACCAACCCCAAACCTGCAGTGTAACTGTAACACGATAACTCTGTATTCCAGCCACAAACTCCCTTTTGCTCTTCCTCTTTGTATTGGGCTCTTACCCTGATGTGCATGTCCTGAAAAAAGATGAGGAGTGTTTGCCTGATGAGCTGAAATTCCCCAGCAGAGAGACAGCCATAGGTCTGGAAAAGAAAAACCACGATGAGGCTTTGTGGGTGAACCACGGCCAACCTGGGCAAAGGTGGGAACAAGTTCAGCAGAATATTGCTGAACAAAACCGGTGCGTGTAGGGCAGGGGCAGCAGTAATGGGACCGGGGGCCGCTGGTCATTAGCAGTGATGATTATTGGTGATAAAGAGCCTGATTTAATTTCTGGGCTTGAAGTCAGCAGAGACTTTGATCAGGCTGAACAAGCAATGTACTCATTTCAACTGGGCCAGCAGAAAAATTAAACTTGAATCACAGACACCTTGGTTTCCAGGAGCCCTTTGGGAACAATTCATGAAACCAGCTCCCTTTCGCTGTCTGCGTAACTCTTTTGTCCAGAGAATCACAGCAGTGACATGAGCTGGAACTGGATGATTTGTTTCCCTCAGGTTAGAGGGGAAGGTCATTGCCGTGGTTCTTTGGGGCTGGGAGCGCACCAAGCTGCACACCTGACATTGCTCTGGTCTCCAAGATCAGCTCGGAAGGGAACAAAATAAACCTCAAGCCACAGCATGTCCCACCGGATCCCTACCTCGATCAGCTGCCGGAAAGTCTCGTCCACCTGGTTCATAATGCCCGGGGAATCGCGCACGAAATCCCTGATGGCGTCCAGGTGGTTGAAGGTGACCAGCAGGATGTCCTTGGGCCGCGGGCACAGCAGCACTTGGTACTTGAACGCCATGGTCATGAGGTCGTACAGCTGCAAATAACGGGGAAACGTTGGTTGTGGCACAAGAGAGCGCGACCCCGCTTGGGTGATGTCACCTTGCTGCAGAAGGGGATTTAGACATGGGCTGGCACCTGCCTGTGGTAAGAACCAGTCCAGCTTTGTTTCCTGAGAAAATGAGAGCTCTGCAATCACTGCCCATCTTCCTGCTGCCTGTAAAACCACTGCCAAGTCCAGCCCTGCTGACGCACGGGCAGAGCTCTCACAGCCAACCAAGCTCCTACAGTGTTTCCAAATTGTCTGCTGGATGTGCTGTTTGCAGGCAAAAACTGCAACGCCTGCAACCGCCAAGTGAGTGCCAGTACAGAAATATATATATAGTATATAAATATTAATATATATATATACACACACATCTGTATATAGTTTGAGTTTAAAGTTTATAGTTTAAAGGGTGAGTGTCACGAGGATGGAGCCAGGCTCTTCTCGGTGACAAACAATGATAGGACAAGGGGTAACGGACACAAACTGGAACACAGGAGGTTCCACTTCAATTGGAGAAGAAACTTCTTCTCAGTGAGGGTGACAGAGCCCTGGCCCAGGCTGCCCAGAGAGGTTGTGGAGTCTCCTTCTCTGCAGACATTCAAAACCCGCCTGGACGCCTTCCTGTGTAACCTCATCTGGTGTTCCTGCTCCGGCAGGGGATTGGACTGGATGAGCTTTGGAGGTCCCTTCCAATCCCTAACGGTCTGGGATTCTGTGATCTTGGATTTTGTGTTTTGCATTTCCCCGAAGTTTCTGTGGCTTAGAGCCACTTTTACAAGGAAAGCAAACGGAAAGAGAAAACGCAGCAGAATGAGAGCGCGGCAGAGCCAGGCGCTGATGCTGCAGTCAGGCCCTGGTGAGGGGTTGCCCAGCAGCGGGCAGGGGGCTCTCACCTTGTCCATGCTGGCCTGGTTGAGCCGCATGATGGACGCGTGGGCGAGGCGGTCGTACACTGTCCGCAGAGCTTTCTTGGAGTAGAGATCCTGCGGTTTAAACAGCTCTTCCATGAATTTTTTATTGAACATGGTTGTGATGATGTCATTCATAACTGCAAAGACAGAGAGCCTCTGGTTTTCGCTTCAGAAACAGCGCGTTGGTCTGACCCATCCCACACTGAGCCCTTGGACACTGAGAGCTCCAGGACTGACACCAGCGCTTACCTGTGAACACTGGGCACAGAGCCACACATGAGGAAAGGAGGAGGAGGAACATCGCTCCTCAACGTCAGCTTTCTCAGTCCCACGCTCTCACGACTCCCGCTGGGCTGTCCCCAGCAGCAGGA